GAGCTAAACTCATAATTCTTCCTCTCGCCTCACACACTGTCAGTTCAATTAAGTTATTTTAAATGCCTGTTGAAACAAGTGCAGGCAGACTTATTAGATTAAAAAGGAATAGAACTCATTTGCACCCTGCAATCAAATAGACTGCTGTTACAATGAAAAAAAGTGCTTATCCATGCAACTTCTACCCACTCACTCATAGAAAAATGATTTACAAAAGTGCCTGATTTAGTTATTTTCTCCCCTTCAACCTTGCGCCTCACAAAGCGATGGTGAAGTGTGAGTCTGTGTGTGACAGAGTGAGGGTGAGACAGCGAGGTAGACAGGCAAAGCGTGTATCAGTATTCATAGACCATCGCCAGTTCTGCCAGCCCCATCTCACAGTTGGGGTTCAGTTCTATGAAGATAAAGTGATTTTTCTGGAGTGAGTGACCCTGTTTCTGACCTTACGCACACATACACACCAACGCCGTTCATGGCCAAATACACACTCATCCAATAATTAAGCAGGCAGGAACGAAATCCACAGCTCAATTTTTTCTTTCATCCCTGCCACAGTTTTTCATGCTATTATGTCAGTGCGCCGTAATGCATTTACACCACAGGGTTTCCTTTGGATATCTGACTGAAAACTGGACCACCCAGAGACTTTTTTGACGACATTTCAAACTTCTTACTCAGAAAAAAAGAAAAAAAATCAATAGTTTTATGCATGTTTTTAGCCAGCATCTTTACCCCATGCTGAGTCTGAGAAATTCTGGCATTTCTCTGCAGCCGTCACATTGAAAATCAGGATTAATTTGGATATGTTTAAAGCACAGTGTAAGACCGCTCGTATTACTTGCCTATTTGCAAAGAAACTGTAATCTAGAGCTTAATTTCTACTGCACATATATTCACCGTAGAAAGTTCAGGGGGACAAAGAGGAGAGTAGAGGGGGAGGATCATAGTGGCCTATCAGTTCCAGAGCTTTAACCCCGCTCTTCGGCTCCTCCTCCTGTCCTTTCATCCTCTTCTCTCTCCTCTTTTCGCTATCACAGTGCTCATCTCCTTGGCAAATTGAATTCCTCCCTAGATTGTGCCTAAGCAGCTTCATAAGATCAGCATGAGTCTAGAGACATCTGCGTGATCTGGCTAGGGAATAAGTGTGTATTTCAGTGGGTACTGTTGCATATTTGTTTCCTGACTCTCCTGTCACATTTGAAGGCCAATTGCTCTGTTAGGCAACCTTCCTCCTGAGGAGACAGCGATGAAGGAGACCTTGAGTTGTAACACATTTTGACAAAAGTGGACCAAAAGGCAAAAATGAAGGAAGGTGGTAGTTGTGACACAGAGACCTGTGGTTGAATGGTACAGCTTGTGAGACGGACGGATTACAAAAAGGGAAGACCGGGGAGGAATGACATATCGACATTGAGGGACGGAGGGACACATATTGGGTTAGATAAGAGAGTTAGACAATATCAGTGAGTAAAGCATGCTGTTAGCTGACCTTGCTCCTCTGAGATGGGGCTTTCTCTCTCTATCTGTAACTCCTAATGGACTGCCTTTAAAGCAGAGGCAAGGATTAAAGAGCCACATGCAGAGTGGGGTGAGAAGTGGGAATCAGTGTGCTGGCTAAGATATAATGTGTGGAGAAAAAAAGACTAATGGGTAGAAAACACCCACACCTGTGCATATGCAGGTCAGTGTAAGGACCACGCGCACTGACCTGTTTGTGTTCAGTATGCGGCCACTTACCCCTGGTTTTCACAGTCAGAACCAGATTCTAACCACAACTCAAGCAAGTTTTAAATATCTAATCAACAGTGTAAGAGTGCAGAGTGCAGCAGCATGCCCACACTTTCCCAAAATATCCTGACTTCTAAAGGTCTAAAAGCTGTAAGAGCATGTCATTCAGCTACATCATGTCTCTCTCTACCTCGATCTCTCTTTCCTTTTACACACACACACACACACACATAGGCAGAGGTGAAATATAGTGCTGGTCAGCAGAATGACATTGGAGTCTGCATTTCCAGCCATCGCCTGTGGAAACTGAAATATTCCAAATAAATCCTTCTGGGCACATGCAGTCACTACATTTAGCTGTCTTTCATTCAACCACATGGACGCAAGAACACAAACTCTCATATAAATCTTCCTTGAATGGAACACTACCCCCTTATGCACTGGGCAGATAGCTATCAATCTGAAAGAAAGAGGGAGAGGGTGAAAGAGGAGGTAAAAGGTAGCCATTACACAGCTACCATGAGGAACAGGAGATACTGAGGAAATGCAGCAGCATGAAGGTGAATACACCTAACAAAGCAAACATTTCTTCCTGTTTGTTGTTCTGCTGTATGTATTGTAGTATTAGGGATGAAGGGATTCTCACCTGAAAGGCTGAATCCTTATTGTTGAAAAGAATTCCATTAGAATTGGTAGATTTTGAAGGGAAACTGTTATGTGATATTTACTCAACCTCTTTTCTTAAACTTTTTTCCACAAAGAGTAGATGGGTCCACCTTCCTTGTCGCTTTCAATGTGAGCGGGAAGAACCCCCCAGCAGCAAAGCAACAATCTTAAATGATTTAAATAAATGGATTACCCCTTGCTTTGCGTTATATTTTTTCTGAAGACAGCTCTCGGTGTGTATTTAAATTTGAATCTTGTTCACTCATTTTCAGAGTTTGCAGGTCATTCAGCAAAACTATATTTTCTTCTATACTCGCCTTAAGATACCACATTGCAAAAGGACTTCTGCAAGTGTGGCTGTTCAAAGGTCTTTTTATGATGCATGGACTAAATGAAAGGCATGCCTGGCAAAGCTTCTCTGGGGTTTTGCAAACTTTTTTTTCTCATGCACTGCATTCCTTTTGTTTAAACTAAAAACAACTTTAAAAACAAAGAGCAATATTCTTGACTCGGTGTTCAGTCTCCACTTTATATTGCAAACAGTGATAGCACAGCGCACTATCTTTGCGAAAAGTTCTTTTTTCAGAGGCCTGACGGAAATAGAGGGCTGAGGAAGCTTAAAACTGCATAGATGCAGTTAGAGAGAATGTAGAACTGTGTCTTAGGCTTATCAACCTGTCCATACACCGTGAAGCAAGCTGATAAGCTTTCCCGCTCTCAGCCAGTAAATGCGTGCATGCATGTTTAAACCCGCTCTACAACCCAAACCCAGATGGTGATATTAGTTCAGTGGATCCAAGCTAAACACATGCTGAAAGGTCCAGCAGCAAGGGGCTGTGGACAAGCTCTTTAGCCTTGATGCCTCTGTGCTGTTTGATGGTGAGCCAGGTCTGAACACCTGAGCCAATAGTTAAAGACTGGATGGCATTGTTTAGACAGCAGCTGCAGCTTAGCCATTTAGCAAATGTACCTTGCAAGGCAGGGGAAGTTATTTAAGCAGGCTTATCAAAAGATTCAGCTTGTGGGCAGAGTGATGGTACATTGGAGTTTAATTTTGGGCTGTTTTGCGGTACAATATATAACGTTTGCTGTAAGCAGTAATACGGTCCTAATTCAGTTGAAGAAAATAATTTAAGATGTGTATCAGCTGCACAGGCTCACCAACAGCCAGAACTTGACAAGGCCGAATAACCAATATCAAAGGATGTGTGTCAAACAGGTTTCTGATCATCTCTAAATGTTGGGTTTGTCTTGGGAAATGAATTAAGGTGGATTATACACTTTGGTTTGATATTGTTTTTGTATCAACAGAACCACACCAGGCTGGAAAAATAAGTGACTGTGTGTCTTTCCAGAGAGTAAATGTGATAAAATTGCTATTTTTCTGTACCACTGATGCACATCCCTTCTGGGAAATAGAACATGTCGACATGGCGATAAACTCTGTCATGCACATGGTTCTACTGTGTGGACTTATCATTGGAAAAAAAAATGAAGCTTGAGTAATCTTCTGACATTTAATATATGGCATTCTTGTGTTCCCCTTTAATGCACACATTTAGAATATTTGCCCAATATGTTCCTATTCTGATATTAGTCATCAGTACATGTAGACAGCCAAAGACATTCAGGTAAAAAACTTTAAAACTTGAATGAAATAGAGAAGAAGCTTATATGTTTTTCCACTTTTTACATATTTCGTGGTAATCTTCAAATTGACCAAATCTATTTACAAAAACACCTGTTTTTGCATTAGTCAATGGGGAGAATTGGGTTTAAATTTATAAGAGAACAACTAATAATTGAATCACTTCTGAGCTGTAAAATTTGGAAAGAGCCCAAAACCATCCCATTTAACATATATTCTAACAAATATGCCCATGCTCCTGAAAAAATAGGTTTTCTGATATATTTCTGCTGATTTGGGACACAAAACATAAATTGTGTGGAGCAGTTGGTCTCTGACTGCAGAGGAAAAAGCAGTGTAGTATCTCTACATCAAATTGGATAAAACAGCATAACACACCCGGTTGTACAGCGCTTCATTATTAGCATTATTAATTTAGATTTAGTTCAGTAATACTTTATTAATTCCAAAGGAGAACAACTATTTATGCATCTGTCTTTACAGAAATAGAAAAGGCACAAAAATCAACCATAAATAACAGAATTAAAAAGTTGATAATCAGAGGAAAAAAAACTTTTGGAAAGCTGACATGTAGCAGAGGTTTGTGGCTAAAAATCCCCACAGATCACTATGAATTATTTAGTTTTTTAAGTTTGGGAATAGCTTTGCCGATGATGTTTGTTCAGATTTTAGTCAGCCTGCTCAGCCTGCTGCTCTCATATGCAATAACTTTTCCAGTTGTCACGGATACATCAAATGTGAAAAAGTTGTCAGAACTTCCAGCCTAAATGCAAACACAACATCCAATACAATTAAAAAAACAATGCTGTGGCAAAAACAAACACACAAAGAAAGGCAGTGTTTTGTATTGCATGTGCTCCTTTTATTTATTATGACTTATGTATGCATTTCCCATCCGGTCTGTGCAATATCAAAATGTCTTCTTTAGTATATATTGATTACTCCATTTTTACCTAGAATGAATTCTATTGATTACATAACACATTCTCCACTTTTCTGTGTCTCTCTGTCAGAAGTGGCTCCCATCTTGCAGGGGGGTGGATGGGGGCGGCAGGTGGTGTTGGAGGGAAACAAGCTGGTGCTGACCTGCCCGGCCGGTGGCAGCTGGCCTCTGCAATACCGCTGGACTCTCAACAACACCAACATTACTGACTGGACATCAGAGTACAGGTCAGTGAGCACAAATGGCATGCTCTTGTTTCAGACTTTTTTCTTGGACCTCTCTTTGTTGTCTTTCAGGTGTCCCGTCTTTGTTACTTTTCATCTGTCCCTCGGCCTGTATGGTCATGCCTTTAAAATGGACGAAAAGCTGCTAGAGCTAAACAGCCGCTGAGAGCTGTTAGTCATGGAGTATGTTTAGGTCAGGGCTTTTAGACAACAGCGCCAAAGTGAGATTAATACAATTACATTAGCACCATAAATATGTATATGGTCTGAGGAAAGAAGAGCAGAACCAATCGATATGTCTGAGCTATTTACTTGCACTTTGCTCTTTACCTCTCTTCCTCTCCCTCAATCTGTGCGTCCCCGTATATGTTGGTGGTAAAAGCTTAGCAGTGCCTCCTGGCAAAACTGCAGCTGTGAAGCAAAATTGTTTTTCACATCATTCAGAAATAGACGGGATCTTGGGAACACATACACACAGAGGGAGGTTCAGGTTGAGCCAGCATTTTATAAGCAGACGCCGTGTGAGCCAGAGGCGATGTTTAGCGTTGGACTGCTCTCAGTGTTCCGGGTGTTTCTATTTGGTCGGGCCAGACATATGTTGGATTGGCAGGGCACTGTGAATGTGAGTGTGTCAGCATGTGCAAGACTGTGAGTGCATGGGGCGTCCTTGAATTTTAAGCTTGTTAAACCTTTACAACTTCCACATTTACCATCTTTCCTTAAAGTTCAGTGTCGACCCATAGTGTGTACAATCTCTTGTACTGTTTTTGACTACATTATTCTGGCCTGAGTGGATGTGTATGTGTGTGTAATAACAACGCTCACACCGCGTAGGCAGCTGTATGTATTGTCTCACTGTGTGGACGCATCTCCCTTAAGGGACAGAGTCATGAATAGGCAAGAAGTTATGAAAGTTAATGCGTGGATAAGGCTACAGGAAATTAATGGAAGTCAATATGTCTTCAACTGAAGTGATTTAAACCTGTCTTTGTGTGGGAATGGCTGTATTTACAGACTATACAAAGTTTGTCAATTTTTTCCCTCCCTTCACTGCATTTCTTCTGGGTGATTTATTTTTCTGTTGCTCTGTTCAGTTTTATGTGCTGGACAGTGAAAGGCGACACATTTGCATATTTTTAGTTGAAATAGAAACTAACTTGACAAGTTAGAATTTTCAAAAAAAGGAAAGAAGTATCTTTAGCTTCGTTTTCAGGGACACCGATGAAAAGGCTCCTGTATCACACACAAATTTGTAAAACTTGTTTCCCTGTCAAGTGATGGTGTTTTTTTCACCAAGATTGATTTGCATTGCCAACTCTTTTGGCACTTACAGACAGTACAGATTACCTAGAGGGAAGAATGTGATACAGTTCTACACAGACAGACAATTTACTTGAAAATTTATAATGATTTTGTGATATTTAATGATATTTGTTGTATCTCCCCTTTTTTTTTCCGAAACAAAGCACTGAGTTTGAGTTTATTTTCCAATGCATTTATTCTCATATTATGTGTGAACACCACTCATTGTATTCAGATATCTAAGGGTTGGATTCGTCAGATCCATTTTAGTAGGAATGTTTTGTTATATGGTGCTTCTTGTCTTAGCTTATGTGTAATTTCCGTTCACTCACAAATAATTGGAATATTGGAACTGCGTTCTGTGATGCTCTGTAGCAAGAGCCCTCCAACCACACCCAGCAGGAGTGTAAAGCAGTGCAGGCAAAAAATGTTAGGAATTGTCCAGTATCAAAATCTGTTTCTGGATCAGAGCTGCAGTGTAATGTGTCATTCTTGATTCAGACAGAGCTGTCTGTGTGTCCTAGATGTACATGTGTGCACATTTGTCTTTGTGCGTCAGGGTTTGTGTACATTGGCAGCAAAAATGACAGCCTGGGAGTTAAGTACTTGGCTGTCCTGGTATTCATAATGAGCCCCAAAGCGATGTCCAGTTTTACTATGTCTATCCACTTAGTTTGTGTGTGTGTGCGTGTCAGTGCATAGGTGTGGGTATGCATTTGTGTATTTGCCTTGTGTGCCACCAACCTAGATCCAATGCCAAGCCTCCCATTAGTGAAGCATAGTGCATTAAAACCCCATTAACGATCCTTCTGAGGAAAAAATACATGAACACAGTCAAAAGAATTCTCATACAAAGCACGCTCAGATGTATACACACGCAAACACACACACACACAAAAACACACGCACACAAACAATGTACACTTTCTGTTAGAGGGAAACTTTTGCTACCGCAGTCCGAATCTGTTTTCTCAATTCAAGGTCATGAACAAATATGGACACACATACCTGTCTGTCTGGAGTGCTCTCTAATGTTTGTTTGCCACAACTCTGAGACGGCGCACTGCCTCATGACTGTATACTTCATGTGCCTGTCCTCCAGGCTGATCATGCCATCGTTGAAGAGGACTGACGCTGGTTTCTATCAGTGTATTGTGAGGAACAGGATGGGAGCCATAATTCACAGGAGATCAGAGGTGCATGTGGCCTGTAAGTACACACACATGTTGATTTAAAGAATACATACTATTGTAATGCCAGCAACATTGCCTATTTTTCTTAGAAGGTTTATAGTTCACATATGCAAAATTATGAATTCATCTGAATATAATTCTTGTCTCCACAGTCAAATGTAACACTCAGTATTTTGTCAGAGATTATTAGACTACAAGTACAGAAAAGGCTTAGATTATTATAAACACAGTCAAACATTGGAGTTGGATGGAAAACACAATAACAAAATGCATGATAATATGTGTATCAGACATATTTTTCATCATTCCAACAAATTAAAAGTGATTCAGGGATATTGTTTTCCATTAGATTCACTCATCTAATGAAAAAACAATATCCCTGAATCGGTGGCAGAATCAGATGGGCCTATGTCCATACATAGTCTGATGGTTTGGGTTATCTGCCCTCACTGATCCACAAAATCCACAAGCTTTTGTTACTTTTATCACATGAGTAATTACTCTCCTAAGTTTGACCCAGCTGTGAGCTTCTCCTAACATTTGCTTCTAAAAGATGGAGACTCTCTCAAAAGCTCTTATTGTTCTCAATTATAATAATGACCTGTTGTCAGTGAGGCTAATTAGATTATGTTTTTCTGTTTTCTTTGTTGTTGTGCCCTTTCTGTCTTTCTGTGATAATCATTGACTGTTATTAGCTGTTGTGGAGTCAAACCAAATTATTAACATCACAAAAGAAGAATGATTTGCAGAAATGATTTGACAGGATGTCATGGTACTCATAATAAAATGTCTTACTTTCTTTTGTCTTGCTTTTTGAGATACCTTCCCTTTTTTTTACTTGAGAAATCTTTTCCAAATCACAAATAGTCAAGGAATAGGAAAGGGATGCAACGAAAAGAGCTATATTAAAGTAAATATTACTTATATTATAGTGATCTTATGGTCCCGATTCTGTGTCACTCTCCTTTTAAAGTTTTGGGGAATTTCTCTGCTGTGGAACAGAGAAAAACAGTAACTCAAGGCCGAGCAGCCATCATCAGTCCGCCTCCTCTTGCCTCGTTTCCTCGACCTCTTGTCACATGGTACAAAGATGGCCATAAGATCATCCCCGACAACCGAATGTAAGTGTTTTTTTCGACTCTCTCTCATGCCTTTCCCTTTCAGCACATGTTCATATTTTTATGGAGCCTCAGGTACTGAGATAACTGGCACTTTCCTTTCCAACTGACTAATGAAATTATTAAGAAATATACATTTGTCTTGTCTATTAATCAAATCTACAAGGTTATTAGGTTATTTTACTTGCATGAAAGATGATCCTTTGTATTAGCGTACAGCTGCGATATGGGACGTCTAAGATGTCTCTTGTAGCTGTATTTCACAGCCTTTTGTTTGATGCTATTGTCTTGCTTCTTTTGAAAGGCCTTCGATTTGCATATTATTTCTAAGTTGCTACAGATATCTTGTCATTGTTGTTATTTTGGATGATAATCAGTGTATTAATAGTGGAAATATTCATAGAAGGGAAGTAAGCCTCTCATGAAGGCTTTTTAGAAGACAATGTGCTGCAGCTCCAGTCCAAATAGTTTTGGAATATGTGCACATGTTTTTTTAATGTACTCATCAATGAAAGTAGGTGTTGAAGTGAAGACCTTCACTGATTTTATTAGCCTCTCCTCATACAACTAAACCTCCATTAAGAGCACTAACTGCTCCCCAGTGTGTTATTGAATGAAATAGTAAGTGGCCTTTCGGTACAGGTGAATTGTAAAACAGCAACTTTTTAAGTCTGTTAAGGACCATCACCTTCATTTGAAGTGCTTTTCTTAAAGCTTTATACAAAAACAGTGTTCTCTTTGTCGAGATAACACCAAATTTGACTTTGCCTTTTAATTAGGAGAACATGGATAATGTGCTCCAGTTAACTTAATAAGGCTTCATTGAGTGTGCCTTAATGACACCGAACTGCTATTATTTTGCTGCTCAAGATGCTGCCAGTATTGAAACTGTTTACTGTCAGTACATCTCTGCTGCTCTATGTTAGCCTCCCTTGACTTTACTCCCTGCTGCTGTTCACAAATCAGAAAGATGAATCCTTCCACTAACCACAACATATTCATAAAGCACCACTGCTGATAGCTGTCATACCAAAATGGAAAGAACAATTCATTAAGACACTATCTAGATTTAGATTTTATTGGATTTTAAAACCACAAATCTGTAAATTTGAATGAGCAAATGCTCTCTCACACAACTTTCAATGCTGCGCACTGAAATTGCATTTACAATAGAGAAGGAAGATGGCCTAAGCCCCTTTTCCCTACTTATCCAAGCCACTAAGTAGTACAACTTCAGACTCACTGAGGAGTTATTAATGAAAGCTAGAGACCAAGTAAACAGCTCATTTGTAAGATGTGTCAAAGCCAGACTTTAATGACTTATATATGTCAGATATATTTGTCAGTTTAAGGACTGTTTGATTTGTATATGAATTAACCCTGACTGGATTGGAATTCTTTTTTTAGTATAGATGACACACTACTGCGATTTTGCTGGATTAGTTCCTTTGTATTATGGCCTACTTCCACAGTTAAAAAACATGCATATCAGGTTACTTAGTGACTGTAAATAGCCTCTATGAGTCAGTTAGAGAGTGTGAAGTTTTCTGTCTTGTGCATCTGTGTGGCCCTATGATAGACTGAAAATGAACACATTTTCATGTTATGTACTATAATACTCTGATCCCACTGCACTTGTGCTTGTAAAATGACCAATTCCAAGTGGATCAACCTTTTCTACAGTAGTATGATGCAGTGTTTTCTTTTCTTGTTTTTTTGTGGCAGCGACTGATCAGGGTTGAGCAAAGTCCAAAGGTATCATCAACTTATTGTCCAGAGAGCATGGAGCTGTACAATGAATAAAAAGTTGCTTTCCAAGAACGAACTCTCTTAATCGCCTGGTCTGGCTTTGGGACCATGTTCTTTATTTGCAAAACCCAATACCAGACTTCCTGAGGAATCTCAATATGCCCTCCCACAAGAAGTCCCCTTCCAGCCGGACAGAGCATGAGAGTATCCCCAACTCGAGATTTAATCGCGGCTAGAGGCACTTCAATTTACCACTGAGCCTTTGCTTTAGAAAAAGAAAGAGCATTAAAATCCACAGTCCATGTATTTTATTGCAAAGACAAACCATTACATTCGGCGTTCTCTCAGCTATTTAAGGCAGACACAATTAAATTGCACTGAATACCCAGCTGATTCCACTAACTTTATTAGTAATTAAGGGGCTTTTATGAAATAGTGTCAGTGACATACTGGTGATAAATGGTGTAGGAATGTCACTCAGTTCAACCTTATGGCTCAAAGTAGAAGGCGGTTCGTTTAGAACCTACACCAGCATACATTTTTAGACTGAGAGTGGGAGGTGTGTAGCTTCTAGATGTTTTACATTTACATCTCTTTTAACTTGTTGGTTCCCAACAATTGGTCTAGTCCTTCCAAGAACAGAATGAAAGAACCACACAAAATAAAGAATTACCAATTTCAATGTCACCGTCCAGTCCAGTAAATGTGGAACATTTTAAACTACTTAATTTTTAAGAAAAAAAAATGGTTTTATCTTCTATTGAGTATTGAGAAAAGTAGTTTATCAAAGTAATTTACATAATTTATAGCCAACAACAGAGTCTTGTATAAAAAATCCAGCCAAAGAACTCATGTTACATTTGTAATCAGTGTGTTAAAACCGTGTATGCAGTGTTTTGTTTAGCGACAGTTAACCTTTATGACTGAAGCTAATGTCTGCCGGCTCCAGACTGGAATTTAGTGTCATCGTTTTTGTTATATATTCAAATCAAATTACACTTAATTATGTGTTCAATGTCCTATTTTTTAATTGTCTTTATTGTTTGGGGCTGTTAAAACCAGCCTGACTCAGACACTGTCTGACTCAGATAGAAGTCAGACTCTGACTGTTCTTTTTTGCCAAAAAGAGTCTTTAAACCAAACATCTGTTCTACATCTTAACGCTGATATAAGACTGATAAATGAAATGATCAATTGAGTAAATTTGAAAATTATGGTAATCCATCTAAAATACTACAAAACGTTGACAGTAAGCCATTAGTAGACACATTATGTTGTGTTTTTGCTTTTTTCTACTCGGCTGTGTCAAAAAAAAAAAAAGGAAAAGTTGAAAGTAAAAGCCATGAAGACTCGTTCTCCCTTTCTGTAAAAGCTAACTATACTGTTGAGGGAGAGGATATGCACTTTGGCTCAGCCAGGTTGGCAGTTTGTTTTGGCCAAGAAGGCCTTATTAGTGTGAAACTAAAAAAAAAGAAGAAAAAAGCTTAACCACTAGTACCTGTATCCATGGCAACTAGATGAAATATCAGCTGATTGTGGTACTTTCAAAGTCTGGCAATCATAATATGTTTTAATAATATACAAGTAAGTTGAATTATATTGTTTTCAGAATATATTCAGCAATATTTTTGCCATATCATATCCAGTTTTTTTAAATGTATTTGTTTCAAACAGCACACCGTGGTGTGACCAAGGTGAATCTCTACTTAATTGTAAGGTTTTAGTCTGATTCTGGATAAAAACTATCATCTCTCTGGTGTGAAATGAAAAATTCTGATTTGCTTGCAGCCGACATACACATACTGTGATGAAGATTCATGCATAACACTTCCGTTGAACCCACATAGAAAAGACTAATTTGCACCTTTTTTCACAGCCCGGCTCTTGTCTCTACAAGAAATGTCCTCCATTCTCTCTCTCTTTCCCCACCTCTCTATGTCTCTCAGCCTCTCATTTTTACCACTAAATTAATCTTTATATTTCTTTGCTCTCTCAGCTGGCTGTTATTCTCTCACTGCCTTTTTACAGTCATTATCACGCTACAGGATATGGTTTTAGACGTAACCCATAAACTTCTGTTCCTGAATAAACTGCTTAACTGCTTTGGTGTATGCATGCAAACGCACACAAGCACATGGACATAATCTGTCTCTCCAGACCGATCTCAGTTGCGTTTACCTGGCTCGAGCGTCTCTGTGCGCACTCATGCGTGACAGAGTGAGTGCAGTGAATATTTGCACAGTTTACAGTGTGTAACTGTGTCAGGATGTGTTTGTGTTTGTGTGTGAGGTTATGCTGGCTGATCCCGCAGTCCGGTGAGACATGGCCAGATGGTGCCTGGCGGTTGGCTGTCTTCGTGGTGACCGAGCTGATGATGTCGTTTATGAAGTTTATTGATCCGATATGCACGGCTCCCAGAGTCCCCGGCCCCATCTCGCTGTCTGTCTTTCTGCCTCTCCCACTGCTCTCAATTTATGTCCATGCGTCTGCTCTGAACGCCAATCTGCATAACCACCACACACACACACGCACACACACACTTTCTCTCTCCGTGTCTTCATTCGGCCTACCTTGGCACACATATATCCTCCACATCTACGGACATTCCCAAACTCCCCCTGCTAACTAACTGGCCAGCAACAAACTTACAAGCTGCCACTCCTCCAACTGTCTGCTCTCATCTAATGGAGCCCTGATTCTTTGACGCTCCATTTTCCTGTTCCCTCCCCTCCAAAAATGTTGTTCTTCCTCCCACCAAAACATTTTCCCATGGGCTGTGAGCATTAGTTCTGTTGGGCCCGTTTTCCTCACTGCTGTCCCGCAGCAGTTAGAGGAGCGCTGGCACGACGCAGCCCCAGACCTGGACATGTTTTTTAGCTGTGACCTGCTGCCCAGGTCCAGAAGAGCAAGCTGCTGCTTCTAATGAGCTCTGAGGTCTGCGGCTGATGGATGTGAATTGACTCTGATAGCCAGCAGCTTCAAGAGGACATGCAGGATGAGGAGGATTAGAACTCTCTTTTCTGACACTGTCAGGGGCACACGAACCTCAGACTGATCAAATAAAAGCAGTGATCTATGCAGAGGAACGGCAGTAGAGACAGGGACTATTTCACTCTCTTGTTGCTGAGGAGTTTAGCATTGTGCTCTGAGAACGTTGTCACAGCAGGGCCTCGTGGGAAATATATCCCCCTCAGATCTGGCCTAACCTTCCGTATGCTGTGGATGTGTGTGTTTTACAATATTCATTTATTTTGATTT